AAACAAGTGTAGATCTTTACAGAGTAAATTTATTTGTGTGGCATAAACCGACTATATAAACATGGAAGGGTGATGGCTAATGGAGGTTGATCTGCCCGCCTCAGCCTCCCAAAGTGCTGGGATTATAGGCGTGAGCCACCGTGCCTGGCTTTTTTGTTGTTGCTTTTTTTTTGAGACAGTCTCGCCCTGTCAACCAGGCTGGAGTGCAGTGACAGTCTCAGCTCACTGAAACCTCCACCTCCCAGGTTCAAGAGATTATCCTGCCTCAGCCTCCCTAGTAGCTGGCATTACAGGCACACACCACCTCACCCAGCTAATTTTTGTATTTTTAGTAGAGGTGGGGTTTTGCCATGTTGGTCAGGCTGGTCTGAACTCCTGACCTCAGGTGATCCGCCCGCCTCAGCCTCCCAAAGTCCTGGGATTACAAGTGTGAGCCACCACACCTGGCCCCAAGTGAGTTTTGATCTGAGTTTTTGAAGGTGAGAAATTATAATTCTCTCAGGACCTCTCTCCTGAACTCCATATGCCTAATATCCAACTGTCTACCTAACTTCTCTGCCTGGATATCTAACAGGCATCTCAAGCTTAACAAACCCAAACAGTAGGGCTGCATCCCACCTGAAAGCCTGTTCTCCTCACTCAAGTTCACAGATGGTACTACCATCTACCCAGGCCAAAAACCTACAAGGCATCTTTTTCCTGACCATCCCAAATTCCAGTCTATCCAACTCCGTAGAGTTTACCTCCAAAAATATACCTCAAGTCTATTTTTGAATTTTCCATTTCTAGTGCTACTAACCTAGTGCAAGCCACCATCATCCCATTTCTGGGTTGTAGCCTTGTAGCCTCCAAATCCTTCTCCATACTTTTTTTTTTTTTTTTTGGGAGGAGGGAGGACAGTCTTGCTCTGTCACCCAGGCTGGAATACAGTGGCAATCTTGGCTCACTGCAACCTCCACCTCCCAGGTTCAAGAGATTCTCCTACCTCAGCCTCCCAAGTAGCTGGGATTACAGGTGTGTGCCACCATGGCCTGGATAATTTTTGTGTGTGGTTTTTGTTTTTTTTTTTTAGATAGAGTCTTACTTTGTAACCCAGGCTGGAGTGCAGTGGCGCAATCTCGGCTCACTGCAACTTCTGCCTCCCAGGTTCAAGTGATTCTCAAGCCTCAGCCTCCCAAGAAGCGGGGATTACAGGGGTCCGCCACCACACCCAGATAATTTTTGTATTTTTTTAGTAGAGACGGGGTTTCACCATGTTGGCCAGGCTGGTCTTGAACTCCTGACCTCAAGTGATCTGCCCAACTCAGCCTCCCAAAGTGCTGGGATTACAGGCGTGAGCCACCGCACCTGGCCATTTTTGTATTATTAGTAGAGACAGGGTTGCCATGTTACAGCCAGGCTGGTCTCGAACTCATGGCTTCAAGTGATCCACCCGGCCTGGCCTCCCAAATTGCTGGCATTATAGGTATGAGCCACCATGCCCAGCCTCTTCAACATACTTTCTTTCTTACTTCCCTGCCATCCATTTTCCACAGAGCAGCTTGTCATTCAACCAGAATAAAATCTAAATTCCCACAAAGGCTTCATAGGCCCTGGTGATCTGGCCCCTGCCTGACTCCCACCTCATCTCTGTCTACCCTTCTCCTCACTCACTGTGTTACTGCTACACTGGCCTTGCCAATTCTGCCTTTTCAGCTCTTAGCTGCCTCATGGCCTTTGCATTTCCTAGTCCTTCTGCTTAGAACATCCTTAATCTCTTATTGCCTGGCTTGCTCCTAATTCTTTGGTTAAACTCTCAGTTCAAATGTTACTGCCTCTGAAAGGCCTTCCCTATCTACCTAAATTAAATATTCCCCCAGAACTCACTCTCTATCACATTTTCCTGGCAGTTTATTCTATATCATTTCCTTATTTAGTGTTGGTCTCCTAACCATACTAAATAAAAGTCTGTCTTGTACATTGCTATATCCCCAGCACCCAGAACTGTAACTGGCCTATTCTAAGGACTCAAAAATTTTTGTTGAATAAATGAATGAAGAAATAAATTAACAAATGGCTAGAAGAGAAGGTATTTATGGAAGAGAGAAGATCTAAACAAATGTAGATCAGGTGGTGTGATACAAGACCAAAGGTTGGGAAATAGAAACTCAACTTGTCGGCCGGGCGCGGTGGCTCAAGCCTGTAATCCCAGCACTTTGGGAGGCCGAGACGGGCGGATCACGAGGTCAGGAGATCGAGACCATCCT